GGTGTCTTCCGCGTGACTCAGGACCTCGGTAAGGCGTGCACAGACCTGCCTGTCTGCAGCGGGCTGATTCGGCGTGTGTTCCGCGGGACTGGGGACCTCGGCAGGGTGTGGGCAGACCTGCCTGTCTGCAGCAGGGTGATTCGGCGTGTTCCCTGGGACTGGGGACCTCGGCAGGGTGTGGGCAGACCTGCCTGTCTGCAGCGGGGTGATTTGGCGTCTTCTACGTGACTCAGCCAAACGTGATCTCCTTAATGCCAAGCTGCTAGTTAGTGGTGAAGCAGGGACAGAAACCCTCTTCGACTTTCTCCTTTCACCACTTATCTTGTAGCACAAAGAAAGGAAAAGGTTCCTGCTGCTTCTTTTGTGCCGTTCCAAGAGCGAAATTGTTATAACCCCCTGTACTCTCTCCCAGGATGCTGCTGCTGCCAATGCCTGAGCCCCGTCCTGTGCTGTCTGCTATGATTGTACCTCTCCTAGTCAGTGCACTAATGGTTCCCTGGGTTGGTAAGTAATGACATTTAACGCTTTTCCAGGGTAGCATGTAATTACTAAATAGGAACATTAGGAGGAATTAGCAAATTCCATCTATTTACTTATTAGTAGTTTTTCACCTTTCTGCCTGAGTGATGGAAATCGAATATTCTAACACCTGTAGGTTTCCTTGCATTCTGTTGTTAATCTTTGAGCACACTCTCCAGTACCTGCAAGTGTGGTATGGGAGATCGAGCAGAGAATGAGGTGGGCCAAAGAGCAAGGTGATCTTAGAGACTAAGGTTAGAAACATCCCTTCACTCCAAAGTGCGGCTCACCTGTGATCAGCAGCTACTGTGCCTTGGTTTGCTGATTTCCTTGCAGCATGTTGGGCTTGCTGACAAGTTTAGTCAGTTTTTTGTCACTGTGGCACAATAAAAATACCCACAACTTAAAGAGAAGAGGTTTTGGGGCTCATGTTTTCAGGGGATTCAGTCCATGTTCAGTTGACTGTCTCCAAAGCAGAAACATCATGGAAGAAAAGTGCAGTGTACCTTGCAGTTCATAATAGCTGAGAAGTAGAGCAGGAGAAGAACACTAGAGAAGAAGGGGCAAAGGCCTATATATAGTGCCCAAGTTATGCCTCCATGACCCACCCAGACACACCAAGAAGTGCGGTCCAACAATGCCCTAAGTGGATCCAAAGCCAATCAAGTTGACATTGCCCTATAACCACCACATTGACATATAGCAGTCTCCCTCCCCCTGGGCTGGTGTGCACCATGGCAAAAACTAACACTTCCATCCTCACCTTCTAAAGTGAGCCCCAAGCCAAGCACGGTGGTGCACACCTGTAATCCCAGCACTCAGAAAGCTGAAGGAGGAGGATCATTGCAAGTTCAAGCCCAGCCAAGGCTATATAGTAAGTTGATGGCCAGCCTGAACTACGTAGTGAGACCTTATCTCAAAAAATCAAAAAATTAAAAAATAAAATAAAGTGAGTCCCAAACCACCAAAACCTGAAGACACCTGAGCACGCTCCTTGGCAACCTGGGTAGCAATGTCAAGTTCACCTGGAGCCTCAGCTAGGAACCTGAGCTTCTGGCCCCTTTCCTACTTGCTTCCTTGATTGAGTGTTTGTGCAACTCTCAATTGCCTGGCCTTGCTGCTCTTCCTTCCACCTGGTGGGCCCACAGTAGTTAGCATCAGTCAATAACGTGGGCATTTTTTATCTTCTTTCTTGTCTTATTTATATTCTTGTTGCTGAGAAAAAATACAAGACAACCAAAGTTAAAGCAGTTTATTTCAGCTCACAGATTGTAGACGTTTCAGTCCATAATCAGCTCCAAGGCAGGGTGGCATGGCAGAGTGGCATCACAGAGGAGAAACAGTCCATGGCAAGGGAGGTAGAAGGCAGCAAGCAGTGAACAGCAGCAGTAGCCTGCCTTCCATCTTTCCCTTTCTATTCCATCCAGGATACAAGCCTATCGGTTGGTGCCACCCACACCCAGAGAGGAGCTCCCCATTACCCACACCCAGAACTATGCTAAACCAATTTAGTTATCACACACCCTTAATCCATATCCACACACCCTAGATCCAGCCACCACTGAGAAGCCTCACCAATGAGTGAATGAGGCTTTCAGGGACATCTAAATACCAACCATAACACTTCTCATATTGAGGGAAACCCTGGACCAACATGCTGACCCTCCACTCAGGGGCTGCCCTTCCAACAGCAGCATTGAAAGATGCAGTGTGAATCCACAAATGTTTACTGACCATCTGTTGACCATGACCCAAGTTAGGCAACAGTACAAGAGGTTTGCACTGTGGGTTGAAGTTTGCAAGTTAAAATCACAACCTACCCATTCACCATAAGACTCAAAGCCTTTCCTGTAGGTCCATCTCAGTCCTTCCCTCTCAGACCACAGATCAACCACTCATTGATTCCTTCCTTCTTTCTTGTATGCTTTTTCATGATTAAACATTCTGCCCTGATTTGGGTCCTACTGCCAGGCAATCTGAGCTGGTATCAGCAGCTCAGTCTTTATCCAGACCTCAGTTAGGCCTAATCAAATTCCATGCCTCATTTCTGATGGAAAAAAATGGGAAATACTGTATTCCATAGTTTTTCTTTCAGTCTCTTCCCTGTTTTGTCTTTCAAATAATATTTTACCCACCACAACCATTTTTTCTAATTTTTTAAAGCTTATTTTCTTTGCTAACTAACATTTTAAAAGCAATAAATTTCCCTTTCCTCAAAACTGTCCCTTGAACATCTCCCACTCCACTTACATGCATTTTTCATTTTTCTATTTTTCCATAAAGTTGAGATCATTAAACATTTTCCTCCTTATTCTTCTTGCTCTGTTTCTTTTTCCTCTTTCACTGGTTGGTACTACATTGCAATAATACAAATATCTCCTGTTATTAAAAATTGTTTGACAAAGATTTTTGGGATTCCTTGATTTTACTCTTAAAAATAAACATCTACCATTAGAAAAATAGTAGCCATAGAGAATTTAAATGCAAACATACAGATTCATGTATGCTTTGAATGTTCTGCACTCACAGCCCCAGTTTTGCAGGGAGTGAGTCACTACCACCACCAAGATAGGACACTGAAGGGGGAAAGGGCTGTTCCTGAGGCTTTTGCCCCCAAAAGTGTTTTCATCCAGGTCTTCCAAGGAATGGACACCAATCCCAGAAGGAGTCCACCAAAGTTTCATTAGAAGAATCTCTTCTGATGAAAAAACGAAGTGGCCACCAGGAAAGGCTGGGAAAGCATGGAACAGCTCTCAGTGAGGGAGAACAGGGCTGCAGGGAGGGAGAGGCACCCAGGACTGCTGCGGAATCTAAGGACAGTGCCACAAGGCCACCTAGGCAGAGTCGCCTGAGCAGTCCTGAGTCCAGGACCGCCCTCAGTGATCTGCCTGCCCTGCTGAGTGGCTGGCTGGGGGCAGCCATGGGGAGTTAGCAGGGCAAAGAGTGACTCCAGGCCCAGGGGACAGCACAAGCAAGGGTGGGAAGAAACTTCATGTCTGCACTGCCAGAAACCTTCGAGCATGGCAGGGTGTGAGGTCCAAGGTGAGCTGTGACTGGGCAGAGGCCACAGGGGCCAAACTGGGGAAAGTCCACCATGCTGGGTCAGGAGACATGGGCATGCAGGGCCAAGCCTCAGTTTTACTGAATCTCCTGGCCCCTGGGGGAGGATGAGACAGGTGCGGCATTGCGATTGGCCCCAGGCCTTCTCTTGAACAGCACAGGAGCCTTGACCTTCCTTCAATAAGGACAAACCTCCGAGAGCTGAAATCCTTTCTTCTGAGGCACTTGGTCCTTCTGCTCCTCTGCTATTACAGCTTTATCCTCCCTTCCCGAACCCCAGCCCTGGACAGACCTGGAGCCACAGCAATGAGGAGGTCCCTGGCCTTATGAGACTCACAGTCTAATGGGAGGGAGAGAGAAATAAAGGATCGCTGGGGATCAGCATGAAAAGTGTTGTGTTAGGTGCAGGGCATGGGAGGCCAGAGGACTGGCAGTGAGCCCGTAGTCCCCCAGGGTTGGAAGAAGAAGTGAGGAAAGATTTGTACGGGGGGGGGGGGGGTTCAGCCAGGCCACTCATGTTCCCCGCTGTGCCCACCCACTGAGGACCCCCAAACGTGATGCACATTTTCACAGCAGTATCTCTTTGCTTCTACCTTTTCCCCATGTTTCTTGCCTGAGAAACTCTTTATTGCCCCAAATCATCTCCAAATGCCCCCCGCTGACCTCGAGAAGCTCCTCTGAGCCACACGCTGCCCCTTGGCGGTTCTTCTCCTGCATCAGTGGGTGTCTCACGGGCAGAGTCTAGGGTCCTCGTCTTTCCATCTGGAAAGGCCCAGGTGACATCAGACCCTGCTTCGCTTGTTTCACAGGGAATGAGCCGGAGTCTAGGGAGGTTGCACCTGCCCCAACCTTAGATCAGAGCAGGCTGGGAATGAGGGCCAGGGACTCCCCTGGCCAGGTCTCTGGAACTCCAAAGGGAAAGACTGATTAGAGGACAATGAAAGTGGCAGCTTCAGAACATTAGCCGAAGGGAAAACAGAGCTGAGGGCCAGAGAGCTGGCCCTGGCCCTGTCTGCCAGGATCACTCTCCCACCCAGGTCCCTTCCTTTTAGCTGATGGATTTTAACTGGTGGTGCCTTTGCACATGCACACGCACACGTGCACACACACGCATGCATATATACCCTCACCCAGCACCACTGGCTGGAGGTTAAAACTGGCACCCAGTGGGCAGAGGCCAGAGATGCTGCTGAACATTGTCTACTGTGATGTCTATAAGGCAACCTCCACAGAACACTTTCCAACCCTACAGACTGCACGTGAGGCTGAGAATTGAAAGCCAAGCAGGACCACGTCAGGCATAACCCGGGCTGCCCTCCTGAGCAGGTTCGCCTCACCTGCTTCCATGAACACCTGTTCTTGCTGCTTTCAGTTAGACAAGGTTTCTGAAGAATGACAAGCTGACAGGCTGGGCTACTCCGCTGTCCACTTGGTGAAGAGAGACAAAAGTCTTCTGACAGTTTCTGACCGCCCACATGCTTCATACCAAGGGGAGGAAATGTGAGAATGAACCTTCAGGGGACAGGTTTGTGGCCAAACTGGGGCTCCAGCTCCCATCTCTGTCCACTGTGTCCAGGCTTCACCTATGTGCCCAGCCTGAGGAAGTGCTGGCCAGGTGGTGGCCACATTCGAGTCTGGGTGTGGGACCCTCACCCTATTGTCATTATACCTCGAAGAAACATTGTCCAAAGTATGACTTCAAAACAATCAGCTTCATAACTAGCTGCAGAGCTTGTTCAAACTGCTTTTATGATTTTTTATGATTCCCACACCAAACTATCTGGATCAAACTTGAGTGAGGATCAGAAACTGCGATGAGCCTGAATCCCGGATAACTTCAATGATGGGGAAACTCCTCATATTCAGTTATACAGTTCTTCGTGGGAGGCCCCTCCCCGCCTTTACTTCTTTCCACCGGTGTTAATCTTGAGAAACTCCAACACAAAGATGCATCTAAATAGAATTGTATGCTTCATATGCAAAGACAACTTCAAAAAAGTCCCCAAATCTGTCTATCCCCAGCCAGAATGCCACTGTGAAGGCTAGTCACCCCAAAACACCAGGGCTACCCAGCCACTCCTTTATGAGCTCCCATACACATCCAGCACATGGCAGGCACTGACAAAACAAGGATGGAGTTGGATGTTCAGGCATCCTCACTGTCTTTCTGGTTGTCACCTCTGTGTCTTGCCCAGAAAGGGGTGGTAGCAATGTTTGTGCTGACTGTTCTTCCCTCTCTCTCCCTCTCTCTCTCTCTCTCTCTCTCTCTCATTTATAGGAGGCCATGCTCTGGATACCCCACAACTCCCACAGGAGCTGACTCCAGGACTGTCAAAAAATACGAGTAAGAATTCTCCGAACTTTTCTTGGGACCTGCGTACAAAGTTGTCTAGGATATTGGCAGAGAAAATGACCCTTCTGAATGTACCTTACAGCCCCTTACTTGTGTGACATTTGTGAGTAAAGTGGTTCAAAGGGGCCTCAGAAGCATTTCTCCAGTAGTCTCGTTGGTGTCGAACCCACCTGTAGACTCTTGCCACCCCTCTTCAACAGGAGGAGTGGAGCCCTCAAGCACTCCACACAGCAGCTCAGGGATGAGGGCCTGGGTCTCCCACAGAGCAACCACAGAGCAGCAAAGGCCTGGGAGCTTCATCCTCCTCAGGAACCAAGATCCCTAGTGAAATCCATAGCTATATTATCCAGGATGCCCAGTAGAAATAAGCCCAGGTACAAGAGTCACCACACTGACTTAGAGACCCTAAGATGAGGATATTGCAACAGCAGCTATAGTTCATGGTTTCTTCCTGTCCCGATACACTTTACCATCCAGGGGCCAATTTTACCACTGAGCAATGTTGCCTAGCAACATAGTTCACAGTTCATCTTTACCAGGTTTCCATGGTAACCTGCATCCAAGAAAGTTACTTTAAGGTCAAATTTGTCCTTTGAAAAGGAGAAAAGGTTTGACTGTGCTAGATAAGGAGTAAGGAAAGGGAGAAAACATGCCTCTTTGATGACTTCTCCCTTTTTTCCACTTAGATATCACAATCTTCAATGGGGTGTTTAAGAATGTGGAAAGTGTGGCTGAAATATTTGGTAAGTTAAAGAGAAATTGCTTTTATCTGCCAAGTGTCAGGCATGGAGTATGTTTAAGAAATCTGAGGAAATGACCAGGGCCTTGTCTCTGCCTCTGAGTAGCTGCCTCCCCACCCAACTCCCGACATGTCATAGGGTCTGACAAGGGCAGGGATGGTTTTGTTTCCTGTGAGTCACTGACTTACCATGTGCCTTCATATTCCTTACTTCACTGTTCTGCCTACAGATCTGCCAGGAGGGGAGTGGTGCCCCGTTTTATAAGACAGAAAAGTGACCCTAAGAGAGCTAAATGACTGGGCCAAGGCCACACAGCTGGAAGGGAGCCACTCTTCTGAGTCCAGAGCTGAGCCCCTACACCAAAGTAGTTTTATCCCCCACCACCTACTAAGTACACACAGAAGCATAAGATTTTAAAGTCTGTCAAGCAATTCCACTTATCACTTTATATCTATTATGCAGCTACTGGGACACCATGATGGTCCCTACCACCAACTGAAAACAGCACCTCAAAGTAAGATGAGACTATGATTGGCTTGAATGAGGATAGTGGGAACTGCTGCTGGGTTGGACCATGCTGGGTGTGATGCTACATGTGAAATGTGTGCATGACCAAGTGCAGCTGCCCAGTGCATTCTTGAATGAAAAGCTTATGTACATAAACACATATAGGGGCAAACTTCAGAGAGGCTTTGTTCATCAGCATAGAATCATTTCTGTTTCTGGCAAGGCTTTATGCAAACAAAACCTGTAAAAGGAAGTTTGAATGAGATGGGAGGAGACTAGAACAGTCAGGTAGACCTGGTCCCCAGAGTCTGCTCCTTGATCTCCCCAGATCCCTCTTTCAACTCTGTTCATTATCAGTAGTATGAGGTAACCTCATCTAGTGGCCCCTGATCACCAAGATAGAGAATGGGGAGAATGAGCATGAAGTTTACAATCAGAAACATTGAATATTGTTTTCTGGCCATTTTTGTTTCTTGCCAATTTTAGAGAAAACTACTATCCCTGGTGGGTGGCTTGTGCAAGTCCCCAACCTTTAGTGTCTTCACCTGTGAAATGGAGAAACACAGTATCTACCTGGCAGGGCTAATATGAAGTTTATGGCACAGTAGACAAAGGAAACTCCTTCTAACATGTTAAACGCTCTATCAATCTTAACTATTGTTCTATTGAAACTAGCTAGAGCAGTTCTGGCACACAGTAAGTGCTCAAAATTGTATGTTTATACCCCTTTTCTTTCTACACTGGCTTATGGTTTTTTATGGTGCCAGCACTGTGTCATTTGAGATCCATTTGGCAAACTAATAGTGCCTCAAATCATAGACACTTCATTATCTCACTCTACTGGTCTGAAGGTACCAGAGCTGGTGCAGTAATTCAACTCAGGTTTCAGAGATCCAGAAGGCTCACTCTAACTTGCTCCACTGCCACCTTGAGCATTTCAGGCTTGTTAGTTTGCTAGTTTGTTTAATTTAGGCTTTGAGTCTCATGGTTTCGATGTGGTTGCTATAGTTCCAGTCACAATACACATATATTTGAAAAAGGATCTTTTTTATATGTCTTTATTCTCTATTAGACAATGAATATTTTCCAGAATTCTTTAACAGACATCTGTCTGTCTCTCTGTCTGCAGGTCTATCTATCTTTATTTTTGGCTAGGTCTGGGTCATATGCTAGCCCTAGACCAACCACTGGCATGGAAGCATGGGATTACCATGACCAGCTGAGAATGATCATATTACAAACTTAGGGAGAAGATTCACCTTCTCTGAGCCCTTGCCAGTTTTCGTTATCAAGAAAGAAGAAACAAATAGTTGTTAGGTAGCCAACCAGTGGGACCGTGGCTTATAAGCCTGCTTCCTAGTTTCTAGAACAGCACTGAGTGCTCAGCAGGTGCTTACGATGCTGAGACGGATGCCCCATCAGTCCCAAATGTAGGAAGTTGACGAGATGGGGTCTTGTCCTTCTCCCCTCCAGACTGCCTGGGCCCCCACTTCAGCTGGCTGCAGGCCGTCTTCAGCAACTTCCCGCTCCTGCTCCAATTCGTGAACGGCATGCAGTGCGTGGCTGGTTTTTGTCCCCGGGACTTTGAGGACTATGGCTGTGCCTGCAGGTTTGAGATGGAAGGGCTGCCTGTGGATGAACCTGACAGGTGAGCAGGATCCACAGGGAGCACCTGGGAGCCTGGCTGGTACCTTGGACAGAGCTCAGCTGTAGCGAGTGGCCAGGACTAGGGACTCAGAAGAAGTCTTTTTCCATTACCAACCAGCAGGTGACTGGTTCCCTCTCTCCCTCTGCCATGGAATACATGTTCTGTTTCTACTCTAGCGATTACCAGGAGCCTGTGTCAGGACCAATATGCAAAGCTGCATTGCAGTGTTTCTCGGAGGTTGGATCCACCTGTACCAGAACCACTCAGCAAGCCATTAAAATGTGGATTCCTGAAATCCATCCCAGGCCACTTGACTTAGGGTACCATTAGGTGAAACCTGGAAATATGAGTTTTAAACAAGCTCCCCCCACAAAAAAAATTGTATATTTTGCATAACAAAGTTAAGAATTTTTGTGGGGGGAGGCTACTGGGGATCGAATTTGGGACCTTGTGCTTGCAAGGCAGGCACCGGAACCACTGAGCTAAATCCCCGGCTCCAAGAATTATTTTTCATATGAAGCAGTTTTAGCCACCAGAGTTAAGGTGACCTTGAAGGTTTCTATTCAACTTTCAACAAATATAAACCCCAAACAGGAAATATATAAGCACTGTGGCTGAGATCAATAGAATTCTACTTCTGCCTTGAAGACAGAAATGTCTACTGGGGAATAAAATAAAAAATAAGTGGCCAATACAGATGTGCTCTGTCCCTACATTCAAGGCAGTATAAATTCAAACACCCCACCAAGATTGGCAATGAAGTATCAGATCTTCATTACAGTGACAAAACACTTGGGAAAATCAATTTAAAGGAGGAAAGTTTTCTAGTGGCTCACAGATTTGGTTCATGGTTTTCAGGCTCTGAGGAAGAAATGTGACTGTGGGAGGGCATGGTGAAGGGAAGCTCCTTAGCACATGGCATCCGGGAAGCAAAGCGGTAGGGAAGAGCCACAGAAGAAGGAGCAAGGGCCACAGTTCTCCAGCCAGCCATGAGTTCCTGATAGCCCACTGGACTGTGATTGCATTACTGTGTCCATCCACCGATGATGTACACACCTCTAGGGCCCCCTCTGAGTACTGCTGTATTGGGATCAAGCCATCAACAATGAGCCCTTGGGGATCGCTTCCCACCCAGCTGATGTTACACTGGGGCCAAACCCGGTCCTCTCACCTGTATGGGCTCACAGCAGGTAGGGAAAGAATCCCCTTGGTGACAACTGGATGGCCCACAGCCACCCTGGCATTGCTCTTGGAGGACCCCTCTCTGTGTGCTTTGACTCCTAGGTGCCAGGGCAGCCTCTGAGCTCCCCAGACATCTGGGGCTCTCTTTCCTGCACCCACTTCACAGGCAAGGATGGGTGAATAGCACCCACCTTCTCTCTCCTCCATGTCCTTGGAGGGGTTCTCGCCACACTCTGTACTCCCAGCACTGACCCCAGGAGGAAGCCCCTTGGTGCATCAGCTGGCTGGCGAGGCTGACAATCTCCAGATGAAAAATAATTAAAGCAATGAATTAAAAAGTCACATATTCTTAATTGACAAAGAATAATGGCTTTAGAATTAAATAACCAATCTGTCCCACTTCTGGATTTGCAAGACAGAGTGCAAGTTGCCTCTAGACCAAAAAAGCAGTTTCCCCCTTTGGGAACCACAAGCAACCCGACTTTCAAGGTCGCTGATATTCAGGGGGAACAGGTTGGTTCTGCAAGGACCGGGGCATCTTAGGGAGTGCGTTTTCCTTTCAGGCCCTCCTTTGCTATGTCCCTTATTTGTTACAACAACCTTCTAAACCTAGATGTCAAACAGATGAAACAGGAATTCATCCCTGGCTCCAACCTAAAAGAAAGGATCAAAGGACCAATAACCCCAAACTGGCTGAACAGTGGGCTGAACCAAATTTTGGTTACTCTGCACAGTTAGATGGATGGGGACAGGGATTTCCAAACTCCCAGAGGACCTTGCATTTGCACTCTAGATTCCAAAAATAACTGCAACCATTTATCGAGTGCCTATCTGGTAGTAGGATCTAGATAGACATTTCCTTGAATCCAAGAAACTCTTGTGGGTCAGGTAGCATGAACAATTCAGTGGCTTATCCAAAGTCCTCACCAGTCTGTGTATATTTTTTCTTTTTTGCAATGTTTTCCACTGATGCCTTGTCTGTATTGCCAGAGCCACCTGACTTCCCAGTTTCAGCGTTAGCTTGCTCTGTGACCATCTTGACCTTAGGCGGGTTATGGAGCACATGTGTCTCTTCCTGCTGAAAAGGTGTCTGGGTATTGGGAGTTCTTTGCCAGCCCAACTTCAGGCCCTGCAGTTCACATCATCCTCTTGAAGAGCCTATGTCGGCTTCATCTTAACTTCTCCAAGCCCAGCACAGGGGTCCTGCCTGGGACCCGGACCTGAGACTCTCCATTCACAGCCAGCTCATTAAATATAAAGTCCCTAGAACAGGCCCTAGAATGTGCAAGAATGTTACCTACAAGGAGTGACAGAAAGATAGTGTTTAAAATTTTTTATAAAATATTACAGTAAAAAAATACATTTCCATTAACCTTTCTCAAATATTTCAGCTCGCTTGAACACACTTATCCCACCATTCTTGCCACTTTCTAAAGCGGTTCTGAAGTCCTCTTTTGCATCTTTAGTTGTTCTGTTATGGTTGCCTCCATGTTATGAATTGATTAAACATTGACTTTTCATGGTCATTTTGACTTTGGGGAAGAGCAAGAAGTTGCACAGTGCCAGATCTGGAGAATAAGGTGGATGAGGACGCATCATAATGTTTCTACCAGCCTGCCTTTCAGTTGGATCACCTCAATAGCAGAATTCACTGTAGGTTTGATTGCTTTTCATACAGACACTCACAAGAGAGGACTTCCAGAACTGCTTCAGAAAGTACCAAGAACATGGGATAAGAGTCTTAGAAGTGAGGGGGATATTTCAAGAGGGAGATTAATAGCAATGCGTCTTTTAATAAATGTTTAAATTGACACATTAACCATATATGTTGATCACCCCTTGTATTCTTGGTGAATATCTCCAAGACTCGTTATAAATAAAGTTGTTTTGAAGAGAGGTAAATAACTTGCCCCAGACAAGTCCCAGGTATCAGTGGAGACCAGATTCAGATCCTCCACTTCTGGCTTCAGAGTCCAGGCAGCCCCCTCCCCCGCAGAAGTGGCAGGGCTGGTGGCTTGTTGGGGGCAGCCCCCTCCCCACAATGCAAGCTCCCTGATAGGGGAAGAGCAGTGGAGAGTCACCACCCTTCCCTTCATGGCCCAGACGCAGGGACTCCCAGGCTGGGCATCAGCTGTGTGCCCACCGCCTACTGAGTCACCACCCTTCTCCCGGGCTGGTCTGCAGACACTGTTGAAGGCTCACGAGGCCAACTGGATCCCAGAGCCTCCCACTCTCCTTAGCCAGCAGTTTTCCATTTACAGTCAAAGTTTGCAGAGAATGAAGTCTCGCCTGATTCTTTCCATTGTCTCATTCATGCTTCATTCTTTGCTTAAAGCAGCTAAACACCCTCTTCTGGTCAATAGTATTTTAGTTCTCTACTTTGCTCTGGGCCTGATGTATACTAGGATTCTCTGTCAAAACAGTCCCCTGACTCTACCACTAACTTGCTGTGTGACCTCATGGAAGTTCCTTCCCCTCGCTGGCCCTAAAGAAGCCACGTTTCCACCCCGGTGCTCCCCTTCATGTCCCCTGTGATAACACTGTCCGAGATAACCCGAGCTGACCTGTGGAAAGGCTGTCCTGTTCATGACTGCAAAGGGATGGCGTCCAGGCCAAGCCTTCACGCAGGACCAATTCCTCACCTTTAGAATACAAGGCTTGCTCTTTCCTCTTTCTCCATTTGCCTGCCATAAGTGGCAAATCCCAAATACCTGGTGTGGACACAAAGAGAAACAGGTGGATTTTTAATCTGAATAAAACCACCTGTCCCCAAGTGCTGCAGGGATCACACACAGAATGGGGAGGTCATTTTTGCTGACTATCTGCCTCTTCTTTCCATTTATTGTACAGTTGCTGATATCCATAACTTTGACCAGGACATCTCACGAGTCAGTACTTTCCCTTCAAGTGTTAGGTTACACCCCGACATGGCCTTGACTGTTTTTCCTGGTCAGTCCTAGCAAATCATAGAGCTGCGTCTGCCACCATCAACAAACAGGGGTGCGGTAATGAAGTCAGTGCTGTGTGAGGCCAGGCAGAGATGGAGACATTGCCTGTGGACAGTGACAGGAAGTGGTGATCAGTGGAGCATCTAAACATTTATCATTCAAATGAGGAACCAGGCCAAGCTTAATCTTCACTGCCTCCTGAGCCATCTTTGACTACATCCCAAGCTCTGAGAACCAGGGCCCTCTTGCTGGTTACAGACACCCCCATGTAAGACAGGGGCAATACAGATCTGCCACCTGAGCTTGTGAGGTGGCAGATGATGATGATGATGATGATGATGATGATGATGATGATGATGATGTGTGTGTGTGTTCACATGCAGACCACTACCACAGACCACCCAGAGACCGGATGCTCCTGGCAGCTGCCTCTCCCCTCGCTAACTCTGCTCTCAGCACACCCCTTTTCCCTGGCCAACAGCTGCTGCTTCCAGCACCGCAGGTGCTATGAGGATGCCGCCGAGATGGGCTGTCTCCAAGACCCCGCCAAGCTCAGTGCAGATGTGGACTGTGTCGGCAAGCAGATCACATGTGGTGAGCATCTGAGGGCTTCCAGGCCCACCTGCACCATCACCATCTCGGCTGGCAACATCAATGCTGGCTCTTAGGCACCTGAGGCAGGATGGGTGGCACCTTCACCTCTGTGTAATCCATCTGTTTTAATTGAAGCAATACGTGATCAGCAGAAAATCTGGCTTACAATTTTCCCTTTTTATTGATGTACGTTTGCAACACATAGTAAGTACCTTCACTGTGGGGAACTGGCACATATGATTACCACATCTTGGTCCTTTCCTTCTTACTTGCCCTGCCCCTCTTCTCCCTCCTGTCTCCCTGTCCCCCAGATCCCCTTCCCATCTCCATAGAGACTGTCTTCCTGTTTCCTATCACTTGCCTCTTGCTTGACTCTTTAAATGACTTAGACTTTAGGTTTCTTATGTAAGAGAAACTAAGCATATGCTATTTAACCTACTGTGTCTAATTTATTTCACTTAGCATTATGGTCTCAAGCTGCATCCATTTTCCTACAGATGACTCAAATGTACCTATTTTTGTGGCTGAGTAGTACTCCATTCTGTATAACTACCTCATTCTCTTTAGCTCTTCATTTGTTCATGGACATGTAAGCCTTTCCAAGATTTAGCTATTAGGAGTTGTGCTGCCATAAACATGGGTATACATATATCCTTGTAGTATGATATCGTCCACTCTTTTGGAAAGATACACAGAAGAGGTATAGCTGGGTCAGATGGAATCTCTATTTTTAATTTTGGGGGGACTCTTCCTACTGATTTCCATAGTGGTTGTACTGTCTGCCATTCCCACCAACAGTGTACAATGGTTCCTTTTTCCCTACAGCTTTGCCATCATTTATTGTTTTTTGAGTTCATGGTGAATACCCCTTCTTTCTGGAGTAAGATGGAATTTCAGTGTTGACTTGTTTGTATTTTTCTAATGACCAAAGATGCTGAACTTTTCCCTTGTACTTATTGGCCATATGTACTTTGAAAAGTGTCTGACTTACAATTTTATACTTGTAGCAACCCTGAGGACTTGTAAAAGGTCTAGCGCTTGCTGCTTAGGCATTGTGTAACAGGGGAGCAGTTACCTTATCCCTCTGAACTCAAGATGGGAAGGACATAGCCTCCTTCAGGGAGATGTTATGGAAATTAAATTAAGTGGTGCTTTACAATGATTAATGTAGTTTTTAGCACATGTTAGGAATTTGGCAGCGTACATGGAGGTGGTAGTTCTGAGAGAAACAGGCTCATGGTGGCAACTCTTTGTAAGAATTAGACACAGACACGTGAAAATTAAAATCTCAGCTGTCCACACTGTTGACTTTGTGACACTGGGAATTTTGTTTCCTATTTCTGGGCAATCCTGGTAGAAGAAGGGGAGTAGGCAAAGGACAGAAGGGAGAAGCAATGGAGCGTGCTGGGGGTAAGAGGCTGGAGCCATCTGTATACCTGCCTGTTGTATCCCATGATCTCTGCACATGGCAGCTCTGGTCTTCCGGACAGCCCTGTTAGAGGGGACCATCACCTGCAATGTTCAGACAAGGAGATGAAAGCTAAGAGCAGTTAGGTAACTGACCCAAAGTCACACAGTTGCTGCATCACAGAACCAAAGTCTCCACTTGACTCCCAAGGCCAGGTCACAAGGACAGACTGGAGCATGGAACAGCAGAAAAGGAAGGGAGCCAGGTATGAGCCACTAGGGAAGGTGCCCAGGGAGCACAGAAAACGGAATCCATCCATTCACTCACAGATAGGTGTTGAGCATCTACACCAGCAGAAGGCCATTGTCTCTGTGCGGGGCACCTCCAGACCCTGCACTGTCCTCACGGAGCAGACACTTACCGGAGACAAGTGACACAGTATGTGAGGTGGTAACGAGGTGTGGAGGAAATTACGTCAGGGAAAAGCTCAGATGGGCTAGGAAGGTGGCTCCCCTTAATAGGAAGAGGCCATGAGGGCTGGGCTAAGACCTGGGAAGAGGTGGAGGCATCCCGTGGCTTCGGGGGCTGTCGGGGGAAGGGCAGTGCCAGCTGGGAGCACAGGGATGGGCCCTGAGGCTCTGGGTGCCCGGTGTGCTTGAGAAGCAGCAAGGACAGAGGGGTGCTGGAAAAGAAAGAGATGGAGGGGAGGCAAACAATGCTCTGGCATCTCCTAGGCGACATTGGGAAGCCACTGGGAGGCTTCTGAACGGGTAAACAACGCTTTGATCTGAGTTTTCATTTGTTTGTTTTGGAGCTATACTAGGAATTGAACCCAGGGCCTTGGGAAGGCTAGGCAAGCACTCTATCATGGAGCTACACCCGTGCCCTTGACAGTTCCAGAACATTCTTCTGGCTCCTGGACGAGAACAGACTGGATACAGGGGAGGAGCCAGGAGACTGATTAGGAGGCTACTGACACAATCAGGCAGGAGTGGATGGTGGAGTGCAGAGGTGGAGACTGGTCAGATTCTCAGTCCGTTGTCGTGAAGCCCATAGGATGGCCAGGTGACTTGGGTGTGACCCCAAGCTGGTCGGCCCAACCAAGCAGGTGGCAGTGACATGAACATGATGAGGCAGAGGAGAGTGACATTCAGAAACGCACATGAACTCTTGGGATTCGCGGGAATCTTGCCACCGTGCTCTGCCTTGCTCTTGCAGAGTCCGAGGACCTGTGTGAGCACCTGCTGTGCACCTGTGACAAGGCCGCCATAGAGTGCTTGGCTCGGTCCAGCATCAACTCCTCCCTGAACCTCCTGGACCCCTCCTTCTGCCTGGCTCAGACTCCAGGTAGGAAGAACAGGCTCTGCCCCCAAGGTGGGGCTGATGATGGGTGTAGGAGCTGGTGTGAGACCAACCAGTGCTGGGCATCTGCAGATGGCAACATCAACACCTTCACACCCCCATATCCCATGCCCTGAACAGACTTTCCTCTGTGTTTTCCTTTCAGAGACAACCAGCCAGAAAGAGCTGGCAACACTGCTGCCTGGAGGTTAGGCTCCCGGGGAAGAGGGCTCCCAGGGGAGAGGAGGGCGGATGCTGGTGAGAGCAGGTAGAACCACGTCTTCTGCCAAGCCTGTCTGGCCAAGGCTGGAGCAATCTACAGCACTGTGCCCAGCCCTACTTCTCTGACCAGGAGACCGGAAATCATTTCAGATAAGCCCATGTCAAACATCTCCCCTCCACTGGCCCTAGTGCAAACTCGGTCCCTTGCTACTGGATGCGGGTGGTCTCCACAGATGGACCTAGCCATGCACTGGATCAAGGTGTAAACTTAATCCAGAGAGGATGTGCACCCTTCTCACTTGATAGTCAGAGCCTTAATATGCAGTGCGACCAGGACAAGACCTTGTGCTGGCTGAGCTCCCGGATGTGGTGGCCTCCCAGGAGCAGACCTATCCTGCCACCCGCCCTTCCTCCACATGCTCCCCAAAACCCATAGCAGAAGTCTGGGTCTGGTGGGGCTGGTAGAGGGGAAGATGGTTGCCAAGTGTGTCTCTTTGGGACAGGGTGGGTTCTTAGGAATTGTCCGCTGAACTAAGCAAAGGATGAGTCTCTCTTTAAAATATGAGTCTTAGGAAAAACACAGAATATAGTTTGCACCTGCCATTCCTTGTTTACCAGAGTCCACAACCTTTCAGATCCAATGCCTCTGGGCCCTGGGGCTGGGAAGTCCAAGATGCTCTGTGGCAGATCACCTCTCCTCTCCCCAGGCAGGGCCATCTCTCTCAGAAATAGCTGTTCAGTGTTTGTTAAAGAGCAAGCTGGTGTGTGTGTGTGTGTGTGTGTGTGTGTGTGTGTGTGTGTAGGTGTCAGGTATTGTCAGGGTATAGGTACGTGTGTGTGTACATGTGTGTGGGGTATGCCTGGGCAGGTGTGTGTGTGTGTGTGTGTGTGTGTGTGTGTGCGCCAGCACATAGGGGTGCATTGTGGGGGTCTATGAATGTGTCTGTGAAGTGTGTATGCATATATGTTGTATCGCTGTGCCTTCTGGATCCAGTGCTCTCTTTCTCTGCCATCTGCCCTCCCTCATGAACAAGGTTGTTTTTGGATTGCAATACCCTGGGAGTTGCAGCCTTTCCATTCCTTTAAGCCTTGTCTGGCAGAGACCTCCTTCTCCCTCAAAACCCAGCAGTGGCTATGGCTCCTCCAGAGCTCTGGCCTTGCCGGCTGCCCATGTTCCAGGAGGTCTAAGAGCATGAGGGACCCCTCAGACAGAAGGAACAGTTTTTCCCTGGTGGAACCTTTCTCAGCCTCTCCTCCCTTGGTCCAGCAGTCCCCATTCTGTTCTCCGACACTTGCTGCATTGGTCATTTCTATTTGAGGGTCTCTTTTCCCAGTGGTTCCTGCAGAACCCACGGACACCAGCCTGACAGTGCTCTCAGGAGAAGGTGAGCAGAAGGGGGCTGGCTGTTCCCCAACATCTCTCTCTCATTTGTGCCCTCCCCTGACTTGTTGGCACCAGATCCCCTAAGGTATCCCCTGCCTGCTTTGTTATGGAGCAGACTCCAGTGTATTCCAGAGCCCCTGCTTGGGTTCTTCATGACCCCCATGTCTCTTCCCTACTCCCTCAGCTTTGTCTTATACTTTGGTTCCCACCCTGTGGAATCACAGGCAGCATGCAAAGTGCGCATTTTTACTGATCAGCTGCCCCTAGGGAGGTCATCTGCCCTTTACTTCCCAGAGTCTGCTCCTTCTCTCCTCTGTTGCCACTGTTGCTGCAGCAGGAGGACAGAAGCAAAGCCCATGGTCTGGCTGATGCCTGACTGTCCCTCGACTGGCGAAGGGCATCTCATCTCCAATAGCTCCCACATACCCAAGCCTTGGGGGCCAGGCCCAGAGGGAAATTTTCACTGTATTTTCAGCCCAAGCAAGGACCATGCCTAGCATGACTGACAGCAGCAAGTTCCATTCTCTTGGGGACAATTGTTCAGCTCCAAACACAGGGTCAGCTTTGGGCTTCATGGCCCCATCGAACAATCACAAAATATTCACAAATCAGTACATTGTTCAACATTTGAGTGCTTCAGGCTTAGCTCTGACCACCTTGTGGCATAAAGAAAGTGCAGCATTTATCTCTGGGAAAGATGCAAAGGCACTCGGGTTCTCCAAGGAGTCTAAGATCCAATTGGAGGAAGGGAGTGGGTGTACACACATGTGCTCACACCCATGGCCTCGCCAGTGCGTGCCAGTGTCCCCCAGACAGGTCGCCTGATCACAGGCTCTGAAAGAATCCCACTAGTCCGGCTGGGAGAGCTTGAGAGGGCAAGAAGCAGAGCTTGTCACCATCCTTGCCATCATGCAAGGACACAATGAGGCTTGAGAATGGAACCAGAAATGAGATAGAACCTTTTCCGGCCATGTGACTGAGGAACAGTGTTTTAACCGATCAAAGCCCCACTTCCTTCATTTATAGACAGTGGGATCAGCAAACTTCTTCAAAGGGCCAGAGACTAACCATTTTGGACTTTGTGGGCCGTGGAATCTGTCTCTACTCACCTCTGCTATTTAAGCACGAAAGCAGCCTTAGATGATTTACACGAGTAGCAGACGCTGTGCTGCAGGAGAACTCTGTTCACAAAAATGGGCTGCGGGCCAGGCCACAGTTCACCAGCCCTGGAAAAGGCACGACTGTGGCTGTTCCTCAGTGTGGCTGAGGGTGAAATGAAAGTGACAGGAGATTCGGGTCCTGTGTCTTCCGGGACTTCTAGTGTAGCTCCACAAAACAGCACATACCACAAAAGCAGTGCTGGAGCATTTGCTGGAAACATGTAATCTCATTTATGCTCATATAGTCCAAGGAAATAATTGGTGCAATCTCCATTTTGAGAAAGTTAATTGAGATGCAGAAAGAAATTGTCCGAAACACAGCTGAGTAGCAGGGCTGGGACTGAGACCACAGTGCTCTGTCCTTAATTCTAGACCACACTACCTCACAGGTACCTTCCCAGAGGCCTTTCTAACTTCACTGCCAGAGGTGCCACTTGCTGTTCTTTCTGCCTGCACTCAGGCCTGGCCCTGGCTTGGTCCCTGTGCCCTGAGGTCCTATTTGAGCACCAACAAGCAGCCAGTCCCTGACTGTGTTGCCACGGGATTTCTCTTCTGGTCCAGACCCATTTCTCCTGCAGCTGACCTCTGCCTGGCTTGGGCACCCAGTGGGTCCATACCTGAAGCCAGGGGTTTTCTTTTCACAGTGGCTGCTGAGACCAGAGCTGAGAGACTGACCACTCTTGGGAGAACAGGTAAGAGAAGGAACTTCGGGCCGGGGGGGTGGTGGGGGGGTTCAGTTCTGGTGACCTCGTCTCAGTGGGGGCTGGAAGAGATCCTGTTATACCCATTTTACAGAATATGTAGGACACCAAGGCTCAGCGAGCTTAGAAATTCAAAGTCATCCAGTGAGTAGCTTGGTGGCCTGGCCTCTGACCTCAGGTTTTGGGCTGTGAGACTGTTTTCTTCCCATGACCCAGGAGTGACTTATGGGGCACATGGTCTGACCTGAAAGTATCTATGTCAAATTACATCAGCAGAATTAACCTAACCACTTACTTTCCTTGAAGTGATTAGAACCATGGATCCTTTATTGACAAAGGTAAGTAACTGATAATAACTCTTTGCTGATTCCTCAGAATAAGTAAATGGGTTCTTTGGTGTTGATGGCTCCGACACCCCTCACGTGCCCTCTCTGAGTACATCCTCCCTGGCCCTGCAGGGCCCATCATCAGACTCATGTCACAGACAAGGGCCAGTGTCATTTGTGCAGGTGGCCTGGCTTAGCAGTCCTTGGATCTGAGTGCATAGCTTTCCCTTTTTTTCCTGGCAGTGCTAGGAATTGAACCCAAGGCCTTCTCACTGAGCTAACTCCTTAGCCCCTTTTCAATATATTAAAAATCACTAAGTTTCCCAGGTGAGGTGTGTACTTCGATCTTCCTGCTTCAGCTTCCCAGAGAACTGGGATTATACTAGCCAGGCTCTGTTTTTGAAGAGAATAACCAGTCCCAATTTAGGGTGGTCTAGATCCTCTCTCTTTGGTAGGGTATTTGTGTCCACATCAGTGAACTCGATCTTCATAAAGCACCGTCACTGTCTGATTTGGGGTGTGTTCGATGGCAGGCAGCTCCTCCTTGTCCTGAGAAAGTTTTGCTCACCATCTCCTGTTCTGTGTGGCGCGGCCATAAGTGAAAATGTGGACTAGCATAGGGCCTGAGGTGGCCTGGGTTTGCTTCCTGCTGCTTTCTAGCTCTGTGACCTTGAACAAGTGACCTTACTCTCCTGGGTGTCCCCTTCCTCCCCTCTGAAGGAGGGGGAGCACAACGCTGCCAACTCGTGGGGTTGTCTCTCACTGAGTTAATAGAAAGAAGCCCTTGTTGCCAGAGTATGTGGCACGCAGTGGGAGCTTAATAGCTGCGGAGAACTCTCTACAGAGACGCGGAGGGAGGCCCCGAGGCTTTCCTAGAGTCACACAGAAAACCAGGCCGATCGCTCCAACTCTGCTGCCTGTAGCCTACATGCTCCTCTGTTCAAACTTATGTTTTCTTTTACTTTTTTCTCTTCAAATTCTGGAGAAGCCACAGTCCCTGTGTTTTTCAGTGCACTCGCTTGCTTCCGCCTGACAGTAAGCCTTTGTGATGGGGGTCCCTTTGCTCTGCAGGACCCCTGATGTCACCAGCTGTCTTAGGGAATGTCACTCTCGCAGGTGGACCAGGACAGCGGGCAGCTCATGGGCCCCCTGCACCTCAGAATATCAACGGCTGCAGGCCCGAGGTGGCACTTACCTGCCTCCCTTCCTTCTTCTCTTCCAGGGCCAAGACAGGATCTGCAAGGCATGGAAGCTGCTGAGGCCACACCTGCTCCAGGTAGGCATCCTTGGTTCTTCCTGCCTTTTTGCATGTCATTGTGTTCCGTATATCTACAAAATCAATACATTGCAAATGAACCCTGGGGCTATGCCCCAAATGGAAGCAATCACTGAAACCAATTTACTTTTACATCCCATCCATAAAAATGTACACAAATGAAATTAAAAGATCCATTAGCAGGAAGAAATGGAAAATTATCTTGTGAACAGATAGATGCATTTAGAAAAATGCGGAAAACTGTATTTAGTTTTCAATTTAATTCACTTGTAATTCCCCAATATAAAGATAGACACTTTTAATATCTGAAGCTAGTTTTTCTAGTCTCCTCCCCGCAAAGTGAATCAATGGGCATAAATAGGATGAACTCAAGTTCATCTGATGGCTGTGATTTTCAGTCTGAGTTCTATTATTAATACAGTGTAATGCTCTTCCCAGACAAATATTTTATGCAACATGAGTCGTAGCTGTATAATGATTCTTTATGTGGAAACATAATTTATTTAACCAAATATTTACAACTATTTATTTTAATGAGGCACCAGAGATTGAAACTGGGGCCTTCACACTGAGCTGCATCCTAGCCCTGTTTTAATTTCTTATTTCGAGACAGGGTCTCAGTAAGTCACTAAGATGCCCAGGCTGGGCTTGCCTGTGACCCTCCTACTGCAGCCTCCCAGAGCTTTTTGTTATTATGTATAATGGATGTGCACTTTATTTAAGCTAACCTGTTTAGGATTAATTCATCAGGTCAGATGCCTAGAAATGGAATCACTGGACAAAGGACATAACCGACCAGCCTTCAGGTCACAGAAGGACCTGCATTTAATTCTGAATAGGCTGAGAAGCTGTTGAAGGGCTCAATCAGGAAATAGAGGGGTGGAGGCAGAGGACACAAAATCGTGTCCTGTGAGGTGGCTGACTCTCTTACCACCATTTGCTTTGCCTGTTCACTTGATGGGAGCATAGTCCACAGGCCTTTTAGGGATCAAGTACCCAAACTGCAACCCCCAACCCACTCATTTATCACCAAGTGCCAACCTTGCCATTAAACCTGAATACTGAGGTTGTAGTTTAGAGAGAGAAAAAAAACCTCATAGACTTGGCTCTTGTGCCAACAGAGAGAGAGCTGCATATCCACTGCGGCCCATGTGCCATAGGTTCGCCACCCTGGCATAGTCACTCGGCAGGTGCACAATTGTAAAAGGGCACAGACACAGGCTTGGGCAGCTGCCACACTGCCCCTCATGAGCTGCCTTCCAGGTGGTCTAGAGTAGACTCCTATTTTGATGTAGATGTAGAAGGTTCCTGAAAGTCTCCTGTGCTCAGAGGTGGGCATTTGCAAAGGGACCGCATGGCTTACAAATTCATGGTTGAATCTGCCATCAGGAGGTGGATGAGGAGGGGGGTCCCGGGGTGTGACCTGGAAGGGTGTGTTCTTGTCCCTTTTCTCTCTGGTTCCCTTTTCTCACTTTTGTTCCCTATGGGCTGTAAGCCTATTGGTTGATGCCACCCATGGTCACAGTGTGTCTCCCTCCCCAGTTTGCTGGCCTACATGGCAATCACCTCGGGAAACACCCCTCAGACACAAACAGAAATGTGCTTTGCTAATCTGCTAGCAATTTCTTAGTACAGTCAAATTGACAGTCACAATTAATGATCACTGCTCATGTCCACATTGAGGCAGTCATAAAATGACTGTTGGGAATGCTGTTGTAGACTTCGTGGACCCCTGGAACCTGCCTTGATGCCTGCCAGCTGAGGGTGAGGAACACTCTGCTATTATTTCATGTTCTGATGTACCCATCTGCACTTGACATTGACCCTGTGTCCATGAGCAGATCTCTTCTCAAGCCCCTTTGAAATCTGAGCCAGCAAGGTGTGCATTTGCAGGGTCTGCTGAGATCGTTGCCACAGCTAAGGCTGTGACCCTTGGCCCTGCTGGCAGTAACTCTTCGGGGTTGGTGGCATCATCCATTGAAAGCCGTCCTGTGGAAACTACCAGCAGAGGTAAGCTGAAGTCAGAGATCAGAGGAGGCTCCATCCTCCCTGCCCCCGATTCAATGCTTGGCTTTCACAGAGCACCTTAAGCCTTCTTCTCCGACTGTGACCTCTCATGGGTGTGACCAGAAGGCGTCCTCCCCTTCCTGAATGAGCACAGTGGGCTCAAGGGGATGCGGCTTGTCTGTTGCTGCTCTGCTGCTGTGAGGCTAAGCCTGGGACAGGAGCTCACAGTCCTCCCCATGTCCCCTCCTCCTCTGATGCTGACCAAGAGCCCTGCTCCTCCTGTGAGGGTCACAGGCAGCTGGACCCGGAGGTGGACTTGAATGACAGCTGAGCAAGCCTGCTCTGAATCCAGCACAGAGCTCTGAAGACAGCTGCGCTTGACAGCTGGAGCAGAGGAGGAAGATAGGGGAAGACAGACAGACAGACAGACTCACACACATTGAAGCCAGAGATGGAGAAAAAAATCAAAGGATCTGAAATGCAGCCCATCAAGTGTGCTAACTGGATGTGGCCCCCAAAGCCCAAGAGGACAGGGCTCCCCAGGAGGCGAGGCTGTGCCCAGTGTTACTGTGTGGTACAGAGACCATCTCTGGTCCTGATCAACCCCAGCCCTCCAGGGATTTTATGTGGGTCTGGTGGAGAATTAGAAGTTGGGCGGGAAAGGCTTTCTCTCCCAGACACAGTGCACCCTGTAGAGTCCATTCTCTCAGCAGAGTGGCAATCCGAGCTGGGGGACCGGGTTCCCTGGTGCCTCCTTGTGTCCTTCTGTCCTTGTGCAGCCTGGCATGCTGCTCTGGCCTCCCTTGCTCCCCTGAGAGTCCTTGTCCCCAATCAGCCTGCGACAGATTCACCTTTCTGCATGTGGGAAGCGAGGATGACACTCAGGTGATGGAGCAGCTTGGAGAGATGCTCTTCTGTCTGACGTCCCGGTGCCCAGAGGAGTTCGAATATCATGGCTGTTACTGCGGCCGAGAAGGACGAGGCGAGCCGAGGGATGCCCTGGACAGGTATGGCTGGGTGAGGGAGGCTTCCAACTGACGCCAGTACTGCCTGCACTTGCAGAGCCCTCGTCTCCGCTGGACTGTGCTTTAGGTTCGGAGACCTTCCTCTGTGCATTTCTTCTCTTGCAGAGTGGCTTAATGGCATATGGGCCCATTTTCCTGATGAGCAGTTGAGGCCTACTGTGATGTACCTGAGGTCATTCATCTAGGACAGAGCAAGACAGACAGATCTGTATCTCTTGATTTGGGAGGCTAGAGACCCTAAGCAAAACCACAAGTGCTCCTCCCCTATGACAGCCGAGGGGCAGACACTCCACCCCACCCCACTGACCCAGTTTGCAGTAACTAACATGTAGAATTTGTTTGTCCCCTTGGTTTGCCCGCAGAAGGCCACACGGAAATCAGCTTCTCAACAACTGTTATGTAAAACTTCCAAGTTTTGTGTCTATCACTTTTGGAAGAATTTTCACCAATGCATATATTAACTTATTCATTCATTTATAAATGCATTCAACCCGGATTTTCTGTGGTTTTATTCTGTGCCAGGCTCTATGCTAGGCACTGGAGTTACAAAACGATTATAGCTAAATGATGCAGAAAAAACAAACAAAGAAATGCTTGGGTCCAATAGAGGTTTTGATTGGTGAAGAGATGGACAAATGGACAAAAATACTGCCCAATGTAGCAAATGGAATAGAAGAAACAAAGGAAACCATGGGAGTCTTCACCCGAGTTTGAGAAATACTCAGAAAGTAAAGTTGGCAACTTCAAAGACTGGAAAGATCTGCCATGGGCAGGGTGTGTGTCCTTTGTGAACCGTGGTGTGGTTGTCACAGCAAGATCAACAGTCGCGGTCGAAGTTGAGAGGAGAAAAAGACAAAGCTAACTATAATTCGGCAAAGGATGTGGTAATGGCAGGAATATGGAGGACATGGGCTGCTGTAGGCCAAGGAGTGTCTGGGGGCAAGATTACTGGGCTATAGCCTACTGCCCACCTCCACCCTGATGCTTCCCCCCAAGTTCACCATCAGGCTGAGCTATTGTCCAGCCTGTGTGGGCTTCCAGGGCTAGAAACTGGGGGCAACCTTCAAAACTTACCTTGTACCTGGAGATCCTAAGGAAGCTTTTGCTGAGCCAGGCATGGTGGCACACGGCTATAATCCCAGCACTCTGGGAGGCCGAGGCAGGAGGTTCGTAAATTCAAACCCACCCTGGGCAACCTATCAATTTAGTGAGATGCTGTCTCAAAATAAAAAGTAAAAATAAAAAAGGGCTGGGGAAGAAGCTCAGTGTGAATGCCCTGGGTTTAGTCCCCATTACTGAAAAAGAAATAAAGGAAACTGTAGCAAATTTTATGCCAACAGTGTCTAGATTCCTGAGTCCATAGCCCAGTGAGAAGACCCAGATAGGAACCTGGCCAACTACAGTCTCTGAGAAGAAGTGGGGATGATGTTGAAGGTCGACATTGACCATATTTCACAAAAATAGGAACTACGACCAGTCAGCCAAGGGAGGTGTGAAATGGCTTCCTGGCAGCCATTGTAAGAAACCAGAAGACTGAACACCACAGGAGGAGCCCTTGCTAGTGGGGTTAGTCACGCTGGTACTGCGTCTCCCAGGAGTGTGTTTCCAACTGCAGGTGCACTAGGGACCACATCAGTGATTGCTGAGAGAATGTCCACGGTCTCTGACCCACTGATTGTGGGGTGTAAGTGTCATGTGAAGTGCTTCCCGCCCCATCCTGGCGAATGTTCACATGGGATCCTGTGACTCTGTATGGCAGCAGCCTGGTGCAGCAGGCACTGACCTTTGCCACTGGGCAATGTGAGCATTCGAGGTGGGTGGTCCCCCCACTGCAGGCAATAAGGTCAGTATAGCTGATACCTGGACTGTTAAAAGCTGCAAGAGAGGATGGGCATGGTGGTGCACACTTGTAATCCAAGCACTCTGGGAGGATGAGGCAGGAGGATTGCAATTTCCAATCCAGCCTGGGAAATTTAGCGAGACCTTATCTCAAAATTAAAAAGAAAATAGGGCTGGGGATTTAGCTCAATGGCACCACACCTACCTCGCAAGTGCGAGGTCCTGAGTTCGATCCTTGGTACCGCAAAAAAAATTTTTTTTAAATATATTAAAAAGGCTGAGAATGTAGCTCAGTGCAAAGGCCCTGGGTTCAATCTCCAGTACTGAAGAAGAAGAAAAAAGCAAAAAGCTGCAGGTCTCCAAGGGGTGCTGAGAGTATTAAAGGACAAGGAAGAGTTGGAGAGAGAAGACTTAGCTCCTACACGCTGGAGCCATGCCGCCATGCTAAGATGTCCATCTGGCCTGGCTGGGGAACTCTAAAGATGGGGTCTGTGTCGGCCAGGTGGGGGCATCTAAAAGCAAGATACGATTCCTTCCCAGGCTCACTGAGGCCCTGGGCTGGACTCGGCCCCAGAAGCAGTTCTTATTCATAGAGGCCGAGGGCTCGGGAGGGTGCCCTGAAGATGTGAGGTCAGCTATTCTGCTTTGAGAAAGGCAGGATACAGTAGGGGCATTGCTAGCCCACAGGGAGCCTTCCTGTAAGAAGAAAAAACAGCAGGTATCCCTTCCTGAAAGACTCCATCTGCTGCTGTAATAAAAATGCAAATCAACCATGTTTGCCATCAACGGTGTCATACTGAGACCACAAGAAGAAAACCCTAAATAATAAGGTGCACCAGTGTGACGGATGCTGCCTTAGAGAAGACATCTTTGAGCAGTACGCAGCCCAACCAACCACACAGAATGGGCCTGGGCTGTATTCGTCAGCACCGTGTGCACTGGGTGGGAGGCACTGGTTTCTCCCGCTCCTCCAGGGAGTGTGGGAGAAGCAGGCCTGGGTATCAGAGCTCCAGGTGGTAAAGGGTTGCCTTGGTCTTAGGTGCTGCCTGTCCCATCACTGCTGCCTGGAGCAGGTGAGGAGGCTGGGCTGCCTGCTGGAGAAGCGTCCTCGGTCTGAGGTGCTGTGCGTGGACCACACACCCAAGTGTAAGTGCTGTTGGCCAGGCGGTGAGTTCTCCCCTCCTGCAGGTGGGCATCCGGCCGGCCGGAGCTCAGCGTCTGGTTGTCTGCCCAGCACATCTTCATCTATAACACAACTGCATGCTCTTCCCAAGGCGGAGACCCACATCCTGCACCTGTTCCACTGCCTGGCTCTGCTTCCAGAGCCTGAGCCAGTGGCCTTAAGTCACCAAGCTGGGTGAAAGCCCCTGGAGCAACCTGGCAACCCCATGAGAGGCAGCGCTCATGTTCCTCCCACTTTGCAGAGATTACGAGGCCCCAGGTGACACAGGCAGAAGAAAGGGAACTGGGAAACATGCTGAGGTCTCCCATGGGCTCTTCACCTTCCCCCATCTGTTCCTAAGAAGTAGGCCCTTTCTCAATGAGGACTTCTAAGGAACCCCATTAGAAGAGGGGCAGCTCTGGTTAAAGGGAGAGGAGGGCCCTCAGCTCCTCTCCTCCCTGGAGTGGAAACCGGGCTCTTCCGTAGCATCCAAGGCCTCCAGCTGGGATAGTCTGAAAATTGCCTCCCTGTGGTGAGCACATCAGAGCTCGCTTTAGAGCTGGCTCTGTACACACTCAGCTACTCTTCCTTCTTCAAACATGACGGAAGATACATTTCCCTCATACTTTGCAACTTAAAAGAAGATGCTTCCCTTGAAATCTCACAAGAGCCCTGAAAGCATTTGTTCTCCTCGTGTTTGTCTGGGAAGCCACTGGCTGGGCCTTTCTTCTTTCTCCTCCCGCCTCTGCTGTCTCTCACCATGCCGTCTCGCTCTGTGCTGTCGTTTACGGCTGGCACGTCCTGGGAGCTGTGTGCTACATGGCACTCATCCAGCCAGCTATCCCCTTCCCCAACAAACCCTCACTGGTGATTAGGAAAGTAACAAACCTGCATGACCCTGCCTGGAATAGCTCCCACCCTGGAGGGAGAGAGAGGCTGCACCTCTGTGCTCCCTGAGGTGTGTGCTGACAGGTGTTCTGGGGCCAGGGGAAGGAATTTCTAGTCTGCAGCATGCCAGGGAGGGCCCGAGATTGTGGGAGCAGTTGGCAGGGTGGTAAGATTTGACAGGAGTCAAAGAGCAAACGAGAAGTCCAAGGAAAGGGAAAGGAGAAACACTATGTCTTAGCAGTGCTCGGCAGTTTAGGAGTAACACGGTGTCTGTAATGCTGGAGCAGAAGGTAGAGATGAAGGCCTGATTGTGGTAGAGGGAGAAGCTGGGGTGGACAGGCAGGCATAAGATCAAAAGCTCAAAAAGACCCATGAGCAAAATGAAGACAGTGACGTGTCTTCCTACAGGGGAGAGGAGCCAGGACTGGGTTTAGAGCCCAGGAATGACACAGATTGAGGCCACACCGAGGGGCTGGAGGTTCCTTCTCTGCCCTCCAGTAGCTCAGGATCTGCGAGAGCAGCACTGCAGTGGGACCCCTGCACAGCATGCGGTCTGGGCCCTCTGAGCTGGGAGCACTGGGTCTTGGGCCAAGTGCCAGGTTCTGGTGATGGAAAATGAAGGCCGCTTGGTGCCTGGCATGTGCTGTTGCCATCGTAAGTGCAGGGGAAGGACACAGTCACCCTGGAGCCCAGGCTTCAGTATGTCTCACTCTGCCCTGGCCCCAGCTACATTACCTTCTCTTCCTTCTGTTTCTTCCTGCTAGAATGCAACCAGCATATCTGGGGGCCATGTGGTGATAAAGGCCATGTGGTGGAAACAGAAAAAACGATGAACACTTCACAGTAAGATTGGATGCAAAACATAGTCCTTTAGCTTCAATGAAAACTATAGACACAGAGGACTCTGTTTGCAGAAAGCCCATCTATGCCCAGCATTTTCAACAAGCTACCCTCTTGCATGCAATCTAGGCATTAAAAAAGGGCAGATTTGCCAGAGCTAGCAAACAAGAATGCATGAAGCCTAGGTAAATCTGAATTTCGGATAAACAAGTAATTTTTTAGTACAAGTCTGTTCTCAATGGGCAGACTTTCAGACATATTACCCTAAATTTACATATAATTTACATATAACCATCCTGTATTTTATGACCTAATAGTAGAGTAGGGTAGACAAGAAGTTCCATCTGACAAACGGAGAAATGGTCATCCAAAGACTTAACTACTTCAGCCAACAAATAGTTCCCAATGCGAACACAGGAAATACTAGCTGAGGATAAAAGTTAGGTGCCTGGACAGGTGAGGTCCGCATTCAGTGTTCTCTGTTCATCGAGATGGAAAAGCAGAAATTGAAGTAGACAGCTACTCTGCAGTGTGATTATCTCGTAACCTGCTGTGGAGAAAGAGCCTCGGTGGGCTCATGGGCGCCCATAGGAAAGATACTTCCTCTAGCCCGGTGCTCTGGGAAGCATTCTGGAGGAGGAGATGCCAAGCTGAATCTAGGTAGAGGACGGTGAGTCCACTGGGAGAAAACAAGTTATTCCTGGTGGAGGGGAAGGCTGGATTACTACCATTAGAGTGTACCTAGATCTCATGGAGGAAAGGGACACAGGCTGTGGGGCAGGGCTGCAGGTGAGCAGGCGACCATGGAGGTCCTGTGCTCCGTGTGATGCCTCACACCCACCATTCTGTTCTTGTCCTCCTAGGTGTAGGGCAGAGCCTGTGTGAGAAGCTGCTCTGTGCCTGTGACCAGACAGCGGCCGAGTGCATGGCCTCCGCCTCCTTTAACCAAAGTCTGAAGTCACTAGATGGACGCGAGTGCCAAGGCAAGCAGACGCTGTGCGAGGACAGTGTGCTGGGAGGGTCCTCGGCCTCCTCTGTTGGCTCCAGCTCTGAGGAGAACAGTGAGGAGGCCACACTTCACACAGAAGGCCTCAGAAGGAGCGGATTTCTGAGACGGCCGCTTGGTCCCGTGGTGGCCAGGCCGCCCCATGGAAGTTAGACCCCAGAGAGCACGGCTGACATACCCTGCAGTTCTGCCCTGCAGTCCTGTCTGTCCAATGCAACCTTGGCAGAGGCTCCGAGGGACAGAGCCAGCGAATTGCCTGGCCACATGGGTCCTGCTGTTTGTCAGTTCTTGTGCCTGGGGCACCACGAGAGGTTGGATGATACATACTTCTCAATGTTCCAGGTGCACAATGGCTCCCCAATAAATATTCCAATCCGTGACCTCTGTTTGCTTTTACTAAATGTTTAGTTGTAAATACTGGTGCATGAGTAGATTGTAATGGTGAGATGACAGACACGACAGAGGAAAAAAATATCTCAAACTTTCTAACCAGTGAAAGCTACGTTTTTTCTTTTATTAAAACAATTGGAGTATATTCAGTGACTTCTGGATCACCAAGAACCTACTTATGATGCTTGCTGTGGAGTGAGAGGGCAGCTCTCCTGGTAGGTGCCCTAAAATGGGTGACCCTAGTTCTAGACCCCAGCTATTTGCCACCGTGAGAATCACTGAACTTGAGTTTTTAAAAATAAGGTTTATCCCAGTGACTGGAATTTTGGGAGTGCAAAGGCCCCCCTCTACCATTTATCATAATTATAAAAAACTGAAGGTCTGGGTCAGGGATTTAGCTCAGTGGTTCTGCCACCTGCCTCGAAAACGCAAGGTCCCGAGTTCGATCCCAGGTACCAAAAAAATCCCCCAAAAAACCAAACTGAAGTTCTAAACATCCATCTACCCACCCACTCATCCAGTAGTTACAGAGATCTTACTGTACAGCAGGAAAAAGGCAAAGCGCTACAAAAGCCTCCATTAGCACTTGATGGGGACACAGACTCTGTGGTTTGCATCATGTCTTTGGCTCTCAAGGCTCAAAACTCATGGGTCCTGTGGTGAGACAATCCTGCATTTCTGCCTGCTCTGCAGACACAGGGGAAAGCAGAGCTTCTAAGGCATGCAGGGTTTACTGACCTTTGCATGGTATGAAAGTGCTCTGAACTTGGCAAATCAAGAAGTAAGTGTCAAGACACCATGGGAGGAAAAGTAGGGGGAGAGGTAGGGAGGAAAGGGGTAAGGAGGAAAACAGAGAGAGAGAGAGACAGAGACAGAGACAGACAGGGAGAGAAATACCAAGTTTTATCAGTCATTAAAATGGAAAAGCAGATGCATGTCACAGATGGCAATGGCATTTGCTGCCACTAATAAGCTGCTTGCTGCCTGGGTCCTCCTTCCTTCCTGTAACCCCACAAAAGTTAGCTAAGTGTCCACTCCCTGCAGCAGTCACTGCTAGGCCAGCAACACAGGTGACCTCCTCCACAGCCTCACCTGATGAGGATGAGTGTTGCTGAGGGAAAAGTGCACCTGAGCAGACTCATTTCACTTGATGTTCATGACCATAAAACCTCAAGGGAGACTCAACCTTTACTTAGTAAGTTGGCTGACTTTCCTGCTGTCCAAGGCAGTTGTTTGGTACCTTTTCTTCTCCCACCTCCCCGTCACTCTGTTGGTGAGTCAAGAACACTGACAACTTCACAGGTTAGTGCAGTTGTGGACGCTGATGAGAGACAGAGGCGACGTTGGTCAGAGACAAAGGGCTTTCATACAGCAACTGCAGTAAGTAACCTGAGAGGATTTACATTGCTTCTCCAAGCCCAGAAGCAATGCAGAGGGCTGGGGACATCCAGACCCTCAGTACAATAATCTTCACAGCACAACTACGCTGTAGGCTGAGTCTTTAAGAGCTAGAACCAGAAGGTAAATTAGGGGTGATACTTTCTCAGAAAGCACAGGATTCTGATGCGCCCCTTCCCACCACAGTATAAACCAGTGATAAGAGAAATAGAGGTTCTTTTCCTCTGTTAGTTTATATGCTTTCTAGCCCATCTTCAGATCTCAAGTCCTTTTCTAAGAAAATATTTTGAAAAAGGGAGCAGGCAAACACTTGAACAAGAAGTTCTTCCCATTGCTCAGAATGTTTTCCCAGGACCCTTTTGCAGATCCTTTTTCTAAAGCTACATGGCCCAGGTGTCTGTTTTTCACGAGTCCTGCACCTTGTAATCCCTCATTCATCTCACTTTCTCTTATTTTTAATGTGATTTTTGACTTCCCAGTCACTGCTGATTCTCTCAGCTGTGGCCCTAAATATTCACCTTTCCTCTTGTTAATGTCACCTGGCTGCCCCACAGGCACCTCAAGTCCATCAAGTCCAAAGTGGGACTCAGGCAAGGGTCAGTCCCTTCCTCGGGAGGCAGAATGTCTGGAGTTAGATGGAGAACATGCTAGGATATTGAGCAAAGAAGTTTGGGCTCTATTTTGTGTAGGAAAGTCTGAGAGTTTCCTGTACTTCATGAAGACCAACCTGGCAAAATACAAAAAATTAATTGGGAAGAGCAGACTCAGGACAAGACAAGAGTGCTACCTACGCCCATTAGGAAGCTAATATGAAACAATGAAGACAACTCTGTTAGGAAATGGGTAACAGATTTGAGTAGGTATTTCTACAAAGACATAAAATGGCCAATATATACATGGAAAGATGATCAACATCATTACTGAGAAATTCAAATTAAAACAAGATGTTAGTTCACTCTGACTGGAATAGCTGTCATAAAAAAGACAAAAAACAACGTTGGTGGGGTGTGTAGAAATCAGAATTTCACATACTGCTAGTAGGAGATGGTGCAGTCATTTTGGAAAACAATCTAGCAGTTCATCAAAAAGTTACACAGAGCACTTCCACTGTAGTACATTCTCCAAATGAAAACATGTTCACAAACTTGTATACAAACAATTCTCACAGCATTATGTAACCAGACAAAAGCAGAAGCAACAACCTACATGTTCATCAACTAATGAATGGATGAACTGTGGTATATGGCACAACAGTGTATTATTAGGCCATGAAAGTAATAAAGGTCTGATGTTTGTTGCAGTATGGATGACCTTGAAAACATGCTAAGTGAATGAAACCAGACAAAATGGCCCACATATCATAAGATACTGCTCATAGGAAATGTTTAGAATAGGCAAATATATACAGATAGGCAGCTGACTGGTGCTTTACAAGTTCAGTACTTAATTTTTTCTCCTCAATTTTTATTTTATTAGTACATGTTTACAGGAGTAGACCAGCTTGAAACTGCACTGAGCAGGCTTTAAGATATTATCAAATTGGCTTGTAATTCGACTATTGACTAAAATCATGAGTCATTCCAAGGCCTACGTGTGACTTGCTAAATGAGCTTTCAGCTGGCTATGGAATAGCCATATGGAATTCCCTGTGCCAATGGTCACAATTGAGGTCTTAATGATCGATGAGATTGTGGCGTCTCTAATAGCAAGATGACAAAACAGCTGAGGAACTATGACTCTGTGCAGTCATTCTCCAAGATCAAATGTTAGCTAAAAATAACACAGGTGGCTCGTTAGCTGTGCCCTGCCCTTCACAAGAAAGCATCATTCCTCCCTTTTAGAGCCTGGTTCATTGGTGCCTTACGTCCCCCTATACCTCACATCTGCCTTTATGCCCCCTACTGCGCTTTGTAAATAATAAATGCTCACCCCCAGCAGCACAGAGGAGGTGAGCCACTCCCAGTGCACAGGAGGAGGCTTCCAGGCTGCCATACCACCCCCACCAGCAGAGACAAGGTAAGCCATGCTGGCACCAGCACCAGGCCCGCCCCCCCACAACTCCGTTGAAATGAGAAGACATGTAAACAAGTCTCAAAACCAGACGTCCAGATCACCTAAAACAACCTCAAAGGAAAATGAGATGGAACACTGTGATATGCAACCACCTGGACTCCCTGAACTGGCAACAAAAGAGGATCTGGAAAAAATGAAATCAGAAATAATTTCTCAGATAACAGCACAGATTGTGCCCATTGTGCAAGATATGATTAATAAATCTAGAGAGGACACAGATCAAAAATAGAAGAGCTGAGGAACATGATGGAATCCCGACATAGGAAACAAAAGGAATCCATAAAACATACAAAAACACTTCCAGGAGATTAAAAACTCCATTGAAAGTCTATGCAGCAGAATGAACCAATGTGAGAACAGAATTTCAGATATAGAAAGTAAGGTTTCAATTAGTGACCAGGAAAAGAAAACCTTCTTTAAAATTGTAAGGGGGACCATGAGAAATCAATCCAGCCGCTGCTAGATGATGCAAAGAAGAATAATATAAGACTGACTGGAGTCAATGAAGAAAAAGGAGAAAGTGCAGATGACATAAAAAAACTGTTCACAGAAGTGACGGCAGAAAACTTCCCAAGGAGGGGAAAACAACGTGACATACATATAAGTGAGGCATATAGGACTCCAGGTAGCCTTGATCAAAAAAAATCTATACAAAGGCATGTAATTGTTAAGATTCCAGAAATCCAACAGAAAAACGAAGTTCTACAAGCAGTTAGAGAAAAGAAACAAAGCACATGCAAAGGAAGGCCCATCAGAATCACAGCAGAATTCTCAATGCAAACCCTCAAGGCAAGAAGAGCCTGGAGTGTGTATTTCAAGCCCTAAAGGAAAACAGTCTCCAACCCAGATTGATGTACACTGCAAAATTATCTTTCAAAATTGATGGAGAAATAAGATACTTTCA